GGGGAATGGGGTAAATTACTTTGTCTGATATGGGACTCGACAAGACTCCGACAAACACGGAAGACAGGCTCGACATCCTGTGGGTGATGTTGTCGTACTAACGCTCATCTCCCCACTCCTTAATTTCTTCTTTCTCTCTTTCTTCTTTCGTCTTTCCGTTTACGCTTCGGTGATTTTACACACCGTAACGCCGATTTCGTGCTGAAGTTAAAATAAAATTAAAAAAAACAATGGGAAGAGGGGATTTCCTTTCTTTCCAGAGTGTTGGCTCATTTAAAAACGAGAGACTGTTGATCTGCTCGGAGATAATTTCGTGATTGCGCTTGGTTGTTTGAGGAAAAGAAATAAGAGAAATTGGGTTTCTTGGGCAGGGGTGGGTTGTAGTGATTGATGAGGGATTTTTCAATTGAACGAAATTAATTTGATTTTTCAATCGATTGATTCACGGACGAAAAAATTTAATAGAAAAACCTATCGAATTCGTTAGAAAATTCTATTGAATTTCTATTGAACTGTTTTATTAATTTTTGGCCGATTCTATTAAAATATTCAATAGAAAATATTCAGTAGAAAAAGTCAATAGAATTCAATTTTTTTGTATAATTTATTCCATTGAGATATTTTCTATAGAATTTTCTCGGCTCAGATTTTCTGAGTTTTTTCGTTTGATTTTCTTGATGAGAAGATAAGAAAAATAGAATGATAAAAACTGGGAAAATTTGAGTCGAGCAAATTCTATAGAAAATATATGAAGAGAATAAGTTATATAGAAAAATCGAATTCGATAGGTTTTTCTATTAAATTTTTTCGTGCGTGTTTGTTTCATTGAAGATTGCATTTTTTTTTTTCGTTTTTCAGGAATATTTCGGAAATTATAAGGGGCGGGGCAGTACGGGTGTCATCACCGAATAACTGGCAAAATTTCCGATCTAAAACCCTGCAGTTGAACTAAATTTCACTCAATATTCACCGAAACATCGACCAAACACTTTTTCACTTCCAAAAATTGATTTAATAATATTTCAACGATCACTGGGGCAAAATGGGTTCAAGACGAGCGGTTGGAATCGCCAATTTTTCTAGCTTTCCGATGAGCCTATCGGCGATCGTTTCCGCCCATTCATTCCCGCGTAATCATTAAAAAATGCTCGTAGAGCAAAATTATTTTCAGAAAATTCAATTTAAAATTGAATTCTATGAAAATAATCAACAAATTGACGTACGAAGTCAATTTTTTCATTCATTTTTAATGAAATATTCTTGTAATCAGTGCTGACAAACCCGAGGAATGACCTCTCGAAATAGAATGACTTCCAGCGCCCAAACAAAACACCCAAACTCAGTTCTATTTTTATTAAATACCCCCCTCACTGAAAATTCTCACCATTGAAATTTTCGTGGCTCCACATACCCACGAAGGATAAACGTCTTACTCAGCGGCTTCGAGTTAACGTTATTATTTTTTATTCTTTTCTGGATGCTAATGCCCCACTCAAAACTCAACTTGCAATGTCAGCGCAAAGCAGTTGGTGTTCGGTTCGTTGGTCTCGGTCTTAATTTTTCATCATCAAAAAATTCACCAGTAATAACTGCAAAATAAATAATGGGTAAAAAAGTGTTCCTGTGAGTTCAACTTGTCCTCTGATTGCGCATCACGCAGACTGACGATTATTCACGCCAAGAGAACTGTAATCTTCGGGTTTGTAACATTTGTTTAAAATAAGCCATGATAATTAGTTACGCCAGGATTTTCTGAGAAGATTGGAAATTATGGGAGCTTGACGAACGGAGGAAAATTGAATTATTCGGGGGATTATTCGTGCCTTGGAGAGGGGAACATCATTGGTTATCGTTAATCATCATTTTTAATGCATTTTAACATTCACTGAGAGGAAACATTAGGTTTGCCGAAAAACTGTGTGTTCCATTTGATGGAATGGAACAGATTTACTTGAGGGAAATTAATCAGCTTATAGAAGGAAAATTAATATCTTAATTAATATCTTAAAACACTGATCTAATTTTCAAGGATGCGACGTTTCGCTAAATATATTTTAGCTTCATCAGGCTCTATAACGTCAATGACAATGTCTGGGCAATTAGATCATAGTGTTTTATCTCTCCAAAATCCCTAATTCCTGGATTAACTTACATCGCTTGGAGATGAATACGTTTATTGATTATTTATAACGTTTTTTAGATCGGGAAATGTTTTCAAAGTTCACAATAAGTGAACAAAATCATTTCTCGAGGCATAAGAGAATTTGATGACTTCTATAGATGATTATTTGATATAAAATTGCCTGAAAACTCAATCTTCGATGCACTGAATAATTACTTATAATTTTACTTCAATTCATAAATGGTTTCCATGCACATAAAAAATTTTTTGCAGTCGTTTGTAATGAGTAGAAACACCTTGTTTTCCTTCATTTTTGTTCGCAAGGGTTTCTCAAACCCGAAAAAATTCAAAAATATGTTTTTCTGCTCAAAAAATTATCTGTGATATTATTTAAATTTATCAATAATTTTGAAGCTTGAAAAAAATGCTGAAATCATGAAAAAAAATAGAAAAAATGAACAATTATCTTATTTCTCATTCATAAATTGATCTTAACCCTCAAACCATTTTCGTTGATTGTTTTTAATGCTTGAAAAAAATTATTTTCCATCTTTATCATCGTTCATAAATTATATTTTAAAAGAATGAAATATTTAAAGAAATCATTTAGTTTTTCAATTCTGTAAAAATCACATTCGTTTCGTTTTTCATTCATGAATCATTTTTTATCATGAAATCATCTTTTAAAATTTATAAATATTCATTGAGGCTTGAAACAATTCCAAAAATCCTTTTAAATGATTAAAAAAATTACATTCGTCTCATATTTCCGTTCATAAATATTTCTCAAGCCCAAAATAGTCCATCGCAATGTTCTTTCAACTTTAAAAAATTATTTAAAATTCGAAGATTGTTGAAAATACGAGCGCACATGATCCGTAGACATTTGTCCCCCCACTATTGGTCCATCGGTCATTCGGAGGGATGAAAACACTAGTGCAAACGCGCCCAAAGGGTAAAACCCAACCCAACCCAACGCCGAAGCCCGAAGCTGTCAAAATACGCGAAGGGACTTAACCTTAGACTGTGCATGATATTTTATTAATTTAGTTGTCGTTTCGATTCACCCCGGTGGATGAGAAGGAGCATGTGGGCCTCTGGGAGGACAATTGTGCCATTGGTGGTGGTGGTGTGCTGGCTGGGAGTCTCGAGAGGTGTCGGTGCTGCATCCGCTCATATCCATACGCATCAGCACAGCAAGATTGGGGGGAGTGAGAGGACTCAGGATGGAGCTTTCAGCCCCAGGGACAGTGACCACTACGTCGATGGAGAGCATCACGAGGAGTTCGATCATGAAGCCATTCTTGGTGAGAGCTAATTTATTCAGATATTTCTTTTTCTCAAAAGACCGTTTTTCTCAATTTGTAGCAGAGGATGCAGATGAGGATTTCGATTTCTCAATTTATTGCAGATGATAAATTGGACTTTTCATTTTTTTTCCAGTTGATGCAGATGAGAAAAATTGAAATTCTGAGTTTTTTACAGGACATGAAAATGAGATACGTCGATATCTCGATTATTTCAGCAACTGGGGATGAAAGAATTGAATTCTTATTTTTTTTTTCAGCAGATGTGGATGAGAAGAATTGCATTTCTCATTTTTTTTCTCAAAATACTAATTTTCTTAATTTTTAGCAAAGATCGAGATGAAAAATTTCAATTTCTGAATTTGTTGCAAATGATAAACTTGGTCTTATTTTTCTTCAGTTAATGCAGATGAGAAAAATTAAAATTCTGAGTTTTTTACAGGACATGAAAATGAGATACGTCGATATCTCGATTATTTCAGCAACTGGGGATGAAAGAATTGAATTCTTATTTTTTTTTTCAGCAGATGTGGATGAGAAGAATTGCATTTCTCATTTTTTTTCTCAAAATACTAATTTTCTTAATTTTTAGCAAAGATCGAGATGAAAAATTTCAATTTCTGAATTTGTTGCAAATGATAAACTTGGTCTTATTTTTCTTCAGTTAATGCAGATGAGAAAAATTAAAATTCTGAGTTTTTTACAGGACATGAAAATGAGATACGTCGATATCTCGATTATTTCAGCAACTGGGGATGAAAGAATTGAATTCTTATTTTTTTTTTCAGCAGATGTGGATGAGAAGAATTGCATTTCTGATTTTTTTTGCAGGATATGCACGTGAAACATTGAATTTCTGAATTTTTAGCTGTGAATGCAGATGACAAATTACCATTTTTTCTCAAAACACTGATTTTCTAAATTTTTAGCAAATGTCCAGATGAAAAATTTCAATTTCTGAATTTGTTGCAGATGATAAACTTGGATTTTTTATTTTTTTTCAGTTGATGGAAATGAGAAAAATTGAAATTCTGAGTTTTTTACAGCATATGAAGAGGAGATAAGTCGACGTCTCAATTATTTCAGCAAATGGAGATGAAAAAAATTAATTCTTATAATTTTTATCAGTAGCTGTGAATGAGAAGAATTGCAATTTTTATTTTTTTCCTGGATATGCAGGAGACACATTGAATTCTCTTTTTTCACTTTATTAATAGATGCAGGTGAAAGAAATTTAAATTCTGAAATTTTCTGCAGATGCAAGTGAAGAAATTGGGTTCCTGACTTTCTTCAGCACACGATGCAGTTGAAAAACTTTGATTTCTAAATCTTTATTTGAATTTTCCATTTTTTTCTCCTGACAAAAACCGTCGATTCACGGGTTTTAATGGCATTTGATGATGATTCCTGTGCAGGAAGTGTCAGAGAAGCTGAGGAATTCCACCACTTACCCATCGAGGAATCAAAAAAGAGGCTCAAGATACTTCTGGAGAAAATGGACTTGAATAAAGACGGTTTCATCGAGAGGAATGAGTTGAAGGCCTGGATCCTGCGATCATTCAGGTAATTGTCATTAATTTCCATCAATGATTGGGGTGACAGAGTGGAGGACTTACAGATAATTTATAAACCATAGAATCTCCATTAGAATTTTCCCCTCTCATTTATTTACTAGATTAGATTTGAATAAATTAGATTTTTATATTAGTTTATACTATATTATTTTATTTGATTTTTTTGCCTTTTCCGTCTTGATAGCAAAATTTTTGTCATAACCTTTTTTGTAGAGCCGATTGAGAGCTACAACAAATGTGATTACGAAAATTTCGCTATCTCCGTTAGATTCGGAAATATTCCTCAAAAACTCAATTGGGAGATGAGTAGACAAACCGTTTTACCACTTCACTACTGAATTCTTTCATGTTTTCCTCAGTATGCTGTCATCAGAAGAATCGAAAGATCGTCTGGAAGACGCAGACGCCAACGATGATGGGAAAATCAGCTGGGAGGAGATCCTCCACGACACGTATGGCTCAGACCCAGAGGATCTAGCCATCGACGAGAAACTCGTCAGTGACGACAAGGCAACTTTCGAAGCTGCTGACTTGGATAAGGATGGGCTGTTGGACCCTGAAGAGTTCAAGGCGTACACTCACCCCGAGGAGACCCCCAGGATGTTCCCTCTGCTGCTGGAACAGTCACTAGCCGAGAAGGACACTGACAACGATGGGTCCATCAGTTTTCAGGAGTTCCTGGGCTCCAGGGCCAGGAACGAGGACAAGGAGTGGCTGCTGGTGGAAAAGGAGAAGTTCGATCATGAGCATGATAAGAACGGAGATGGCAAACTTGATTCCGGGGAGATATTGGCTTGGCTCGTCCCTAGCAATGAGTAATTATCAGTTTTTAGTTTGTTTTTTTGTTGATGAAACCGAAACTTTTCATTTTTTTGGGAATAGCTCGAGAATTTTGGGGTTTAGGGAAAAATGCGAAAATATCTCTCTTGTGGAGCATGAAATTCTCTGCAAAAAAGGTTTTTACACTTTTTCCTGTCAATCAATTCATTACCGAGATAATTCAACAGTTATAAAAATTCTCATGCAGAAAACAACAATTCCTAATTCTTGATAATTTCTTAATTACTTCGATAATGAGTTGTCTTTGAAAATTGATTAAAATATCGATGTCTTCCAAGTTTCATGAAATGTTCTGTAAGAAATGTGTCTTGTGATCTCGTGAAATAAATTGATTAATTGATCAATTGAGGAAAATTACAACGAAATAAAAAATGGTCCACTTTATTCGCAATTATCTCAAAAACTGGTGGATTTAGAGTCAAAAGTCATAAAATATTTTTTGCAGCATATGACATTCTTTGTAGAAAAGGTTTTAACACTTTTTTTCGTAAATCAACTCATTACTGAAATAATTCAACAATTACCGAAAATTCCCAATCAATGATTATTTCTAAATTATCTCGACGATGAATTCTTAAAAAAATTGATTTAAAAAATCTATTTCTTCTACATATCACGAAATGTCCTACTACAAATGTCTTTTGATCTTTCCCTCTGCAATTAAATCCAGAGATATTCACGAAAGGAAAAAAAATGAAAATAAAAAATCTAAAACTTTAATTTTTGTTATTTTTTTCCAGGGATTTGGCTACTGACGAAGTAGATCATTTATTCGCCGCCTCTGACGATGACCACGACAATCGTCTCTCCTACGACGAAGTCCTGGAGCATCACGACGTCTTCGTGGGGAGCGAAGCAACAGACTACGGGGATTACCTTCAAGACATCGAGCGTTTCACTGACGAACTTTGAAACTCATTGAGAAAATGGTTAATCCAGAAATTCACGAGTCGTCGACGCGTCAATCGCAATCGAAAATGCCTCAAGGCATTCCTCATATTCTTCGACGGCTGCCTCCTCTCCTTCATTTATAATATCATTTTATTCCTTTACGTCTGTAGGTAACCAACGCCAAAAGAATTTTTTTCAAGAATTTTCAAAGTCAATTTGAACTGATGAACCAATACGATGGTATAATTGTCACAAATTACTGTCGATTATTTTAACGGTGAAGTTTGAAATTTAGAAGTTTGGACACTTGTCAATTTGCACTGTCTTCCACTCGATGATTTAGTAGTGACGAAGTGGCAAAATATAATAGGAAGGGAAAAGCCGATTTTTCACGTTTTGGTAATTGGCGGATTCGTTTGTTAATGAGTGGAATTAGGAGAAAATGACATTTTCCTTTAATTCCACTAATTCTCTTGATAATTAAACAATTAACAAAACGTAATCTTCGAACTTCAACATTCTATTTTTTTGCTATTGAATTGAATTGTTTAATTGTCTTATTAACGAGCCGATTTAGAAGAAAATGCCATAAAGCATTTTTGTGTAGAATTTCATTAGCTAGAAAAAATTTCTTTTGACATTTTTCTCAAAATCCACTCATTCTCAAGATAATTATACAATTAACAAAACGTAATCTTCGAGTTTTTACGTTTTATTTTTTTGCCATTGAATAAAACTGTTCAATTATCTCATCAACGAGTGAATTCATGAGAAAATACCATAATAATTTTTTTCTCTAGAATTTTATCATCTACAAAAAAGACTTTATGACATTTTTCTGTAAATCCACTCATTCTCAAATAATTAATACAACTAACAAAACGTAATTGAGTTTTTACGTTTTTTTTTTTTTCTATTGAATAAAGCTGCTCAATTATTTAATTAACGAGTAGATTTAAGAGAAAATATCATAAGAATTTTTTTCTCTATAATTTCATCAGCTACAAAAAAGATGATATGACATTTTTCTTTAAATCCACTCATTCTTGAGATAATTCAACAATTAACAAAAAAGGAATTGATGAATGCTTGTTTTGCCACTTTGAAAATTAAATTACGTGCCATTTTTATTATTCAATTAATTAAGAATTTTCTGAGTGTGGAAATTATAAAATAGGAACTACAATTCTCATAAGTTAGCTATTTATTTAATTAAGAAAGGTTAATTACAAGTAATGGTGCGACTTAGTGTAACTCCTGATGTATGAGCCAGTCACTTTATAGAATGTAAATCTTTTGGACTGAATAATAATTTTAAATGTGATAAAAAACAACATCTCCTTGACTTTTGATTAAAAAACCTAAATCCATAAAAAATGGATTTGAAAAAACTAGGGAATTCTAGGGAATTTTGGACTGCAGAGTCGTCCAACATTTGATAGAGGAACGAAACCATCATCTGGCGAACACGTGCACCAGGTTTGGTTCTCTCAGAATTTGTAAATAGCTTCTTCTTCCTCAATAATTGAGGAGTGATATTGAGGGTGATGTTTTACGTCATTGGATTGGGACTCGGTGATGCCAGTGATGTCACTGTGAAGGGGTTAGAAATTATTAAAAAATGTGAGAGAGTTTATTTGGAGTCTTATACGTCAATGTTGACAGTTGGGGTTGATGCACTGGTAAGAGATGGTTTCATTTTCACTACAGTAATTTTATTATGACAATGATTTCAGTGAAGTTTTGTCGATTCAGTAAAGAAGTAACAAACTATTAAATATGAGAGACAATGGCATAAAAAACTTTTGCTCAGAGAAAACATGAAGTGCAATAAATTTTCTTAAATTATTAATATCTCCTGATACAATGATGCGATTTTGATGAGTCAGGTGTCATTTTAAAGTCTGAAAAAATACCTTTAAAATAAATTTAAAAAAAATTGAATTTCACTCTGCGGATCTCTAGTTATTGATGACTGAACACAGTTCCTATTACCCTACAACATGTTTCATGTTTGATCTTCTCAAAATTTGTTTTAAAGAATTTATAAATAGCTTCTAACAATTTTAGTGGAATTTTTTCGATTTAGAAATCAACTGGTAAAATATGAAATGTGATGATGTTTTTTGGGAATGATTCAAGAATTCAAGAGAGAAAGAGAAAATGGTATAAAAAAACTTTTTTGTCCAGAGAAGATGAAGAAAAAAAAATCTTAAATTATCAATATCTCCTGATCCAATGATACGATTTCGATGCGTCAGGTGTAATTTTCAAGTCTGAAAAAATACGTTTAAAACGAACAAAAAGATTTTGAATTTCACTCTGTGGATCTCTAGTTATTGATGACTGAAAACAGTTCATTTTACCCTAAAACATGCTTCATGTTTGATTTTCTCCAAATTTGTTCTGAAGAATTTGTAAATATCTTCTTTCAATTTTGTGTAAAGTTTGTTAGACTTTTAGATCAGCAAACGAGTAACAGAATATTAAATGTAATGAAGTTTTTTTGGAAATGATTCCAGAATTCAAGAGAGAAAGGGCAAATAGCAAAAGAAACTTTTTTTCTCAGAGAAGATAAAGTGAAATGAATTTTCTTAAATTATCAATCTCTGCCGACCCAATGATACGATTTCGACGCACTAGATCTCATTTGAAAGCCTGAAAAAATATCTTCAAAGTGAAAAAAAAGTTGTTGAATTTCACTCTACCGATCTGTAGTTATTGACGACTGAACCCGGATTATTTTCCTCTTTTCCCCTTTCATCTCCCTCTTTCCATTCTCAGAAACATTCTTTTTCTCCTCAGGAAGAATTCTACGATCGACCTGTGATAGTAGCAGATCGTGAATTAGTGGAGACAGGAGCCGACGAGATCCTGAAAGACGCAGAGACATCGGACATAGCATTCCTGGTGATTGGAGATCCCTTCGGAGCAACAACCCACACTGACTTGGTCCTCAGGGCCAAGGAGAAGGGAATAAAAGTGCAGATTGTCCACAATGCCTCGATAATGAACGCTGTGGGTTGCTGTGGGCTCCAGCTCTACTCCTTCGGCGAGACAATATCCATTCCCTACTGGACAGACACCTGGCAGCCAGACAGCTTCTACGAGAGAATCGCTGGGAACAGGAGTCGTGATCTTCACACTTTGTGTTTATTAGACATCAAGGTCAAGGAGCCAACGCTCGAGAGCCTCATGAGAAGGAAAAAAGAGTACATGCCACCGAAATTCATGAGCGTGGCTGAGGCCTCTGATCAGCTGATTCGAGTTTTAGATAAGAGGAAAGAGGAGGGGAAAGAAATAGGTGATTTTTTTTTTGCTATTGTTATGTTATTATTTTATAACATTTTTATTTTATTTGGCATTGGAGACCAACTTGCTGTAGATTCTTTCAAGGAGTGAAGTCAGAGATACAAATTTTTTTCTGATAGAACAGGGAGAAAAAGGTATCGTTTTTAGTAAAAAAAAATGTAAATTTTAGAGCAAAAACTCCTGGAAATGAGAGAAATTTTTATTAATTTTAAGAGAATTTTCCCTAGAAATCAGAGAAGAATGTTTCAATTCTCAGTAATTTTTACATAAATTGAAGGCTTTTTGTTCTTGAGTCGATGGTTTTTCCTGTTCTAAAATCAATCTGCTCATGACTATGAATCTTTCGTTATTCAAACCACATTATTTGACAATTTGACTCAATGTTGAATTAATATTCAATTATTCTAGAATTTTATCTCTCAAATTTTTTTTATTTCAAGAACCCAATAGTTCTTGACTCAAGAATTTTTCTCATTTGAAATAAATATTTTTTTGTCACTGAATGTGAGGAATTGTTCTTCTGAAATTAAGCAATTTATTTCACCACCTAATTTCCTGAAAATAATTTTAGTTGAATCAACTTTGGAATTGATGCAAACAACATAACTAATTTTTGAGCTACACAGTGTACCTCCCTTCGACCCATATGCATTCAACAAAAGCGAAAAATGTCTCCCAACCATTAAACATTAACACTGAAAATAAATCTCTTGACCTTCAGCATTCACCGAGGACTCCCTAGTGATCGGTCTCTCCCGCGTGGGATCCTCAGACCAAAGAATACTCGCCTGTCCCCTCTCCGAGATGCGTTCAACAGACCTGGGGGCCCCTCTCCACTGCCTGGTGATCCCCAGCCGTCACCTGCACCCCCTGGAATCCGAGTACCTCCTGCAATTCGCCTCGAACCCCGAGGAATTCACCAGAGCCTCGAAATCACCGAAACTTTAATCTCCAATCAGTCCCGAATAAAAACACGACAAAACGTCAGACTAATGTATTCGCCTTTTTCCTCTCCCAGTCCTTTGAGTCCCGTTGTATGCAAATATATGTGAATGAAATCAAGGGTTGTGGTAGGGGTTTAACGCGTGCCGGTTGTTGTACTGCCAGGTGGCCATGGAGAATTTTGAATCGATCGACTAGACATCGAGCGCGTTTGTGGCATCGAAGGTGAAATTTAACCGGGGGAGTTTCACCAGACAGGCCAGTTGTGCTTGGGAATGCTTGCTACACATACGTAACACTCGTGCCTGTCACCGACCATCACCGGTCTTTATCCTTCTTAACTTCACAAGCTCCAGATATATCTTCCGAACGCTAGGATTAGTGAAAAAGTGATTTAATGTCCTCAAGGTATTTTTTTAGAATGCCCTTCTGGAATTTTCGTTTACGTTGTAGTTGTTCTACAGATGGATAGATCGAAGCAATTTATTGTTTCTCTAAAATGCAAAAGATCTGAGGGAATACTAAAAGATAACATAATTTACGCAACTTATCATTAATTTTATTTTGTTGCCATTTTCATTATTGTTTTGTAATTTCTTAGTTTTTCATTCATTCATTGATTTATTTGTTTATTAATTCCTTTTCCTCTGCTTTTTAAAGCTATATTAGTCAAATAGTTATTATTACATATCTTCATTGCTCAACATAATCAAAAGAGGAAGAAAATGGCAATTCAGGCACAAATGAAACGGGAGAAGAGTTTTTTTTATCAATGAAATTTTAATGAAATGATTAAGGGTGAAAGAAAATATAATAGAACGGATAAAATTATTTTATTTCTTATTTTTTTGAAGATCCCCTCAGGAAATACTGACATATAACATAATTTATGCAACTTATCATTAATTTTATTTTGTTTTCATTTTCATTATTGTTTTGTAATTTCTTAGTTTTTCATTCATTCATTGATTTATTTGTTTATTAATTCCTTTTCCTCTGCTTTTTAAAGCTATATTAGTCAAATAGTTATTATTACATATCTTCATTGCTCAACATAATCAAAAGAGGAAGAAAATGACAATTCAGGCACGAATGAAACGGGAGAAGAGTTTTTTCTATCAATGAAATTTTAATGAAATGATTAAGGGTGAAAAAAAATATAATAGAACGGATAAAATTATTTTATTTCTCATTTTTTTGAAGATCCCCTCAGGAAATACTGACATATAACATAATTTACGCAACTTATCATTAATTTTATTTTGTTGCCATTTTCATTATTGTTTTGTAATTTCTTACTTTTTCATTCATTCATTGATTTATTTGTTTATTAATTCCTTTTCCTCTTTTTTTAAAGCTATATTAGTCAAATAGTTATTATTACATATCTTCATTGCTCAACATAATCAAAAGAGGAAGAAAATGGCAATTCAGGCACAAATGAAACGAGAGAAGAGTTTTTTTATCAATGAAATTTTAATGGAATGATTAAGGGCCAAAGGAAATATAATACAACGGATAAAATTATTTTATTTCTTATTTTTTTGAAGATCCCCTCAGGGAATACTGACATATAACATAATTTATGCAACTTATCATTAATTTTATTTTGTTTTCATTTTCAATATTGTTTTCTAATTACTCAGCATAATTAAAAAAGGAGAAAGGAAATGATAATTCATTTTAATTTACAATTTGTGCCTGAATTCTAATATTTTGTAAAATTTCCTCTGGACTTTTCATTTATTTCTATTTCTTTTTTGTGAATCAGGGGTTGTAGTTACTTTCCAAGGGGGGGCAGGGAGTAGAGAAGGCCATTTCACTTATTTCTGCAGCATTGAAAGTGTAATGTCAGTGGTCAAGGGGTGGAACGAACGAGAATAGAACAACTGCTTTTCACGACTTGTTAAATATTGAATAAGCTTAATAATTATAGGGGTCAAAGGTCTACATTAGGAGATGCTAATTATTGGGAGTTTTACGAGGTATAGAAAAAGTTGGGGGAGATGTTATTCGAAAACCAGTCGTTAACGAGATAATTGCGTGATGAATAAGAAAAATCAGAGTGACTCGACTTATTTTGTTCCATCGATCAATTGTAATCGATCTTTTTCTAGATCATTTTGAAATTTGTGAAGATATTGTATTTTCTCAGAAAATTAATCATTCTCGAGGCAATTACATGTTCAACAAAAACGAAATTCAGAAAGCCGTTTATTCGATTTTTTAAATGAGAGGAGAAAAAAGGAAATTATGTCCAGGAATTCCTATAGAAAAATTTGTATCGAAGATCAAATTCTGTGGATTTTTTCTATAAAATTATTCGTATTGGACATATTCTATGGAAAAAACGTGTGATAAAGCTGCGGAATTTGTATAAAATTTCTTTGCGAATTCGATAGACAATTCTATAGGATTTCTATTGAACTTTCTATTAGCTTCTGATCCATTCCATTAAAATGTTCAATAGAAAATATTTCATAGAAAAACCAAATGAAATTCTCTTTTTCTACGCAATTTATTCTATTGACATGTTTTTTTATAGAATCAACCAGAAACTAATAGACACTTCAACAAAAATCCAACGGAATTTTCTAGCTAAATCAATACTTTTTTCTTCATCACTGATCAAATTTTTCTTCTTCACTGCTGCTAACCCCTCCGAAAATAGAAATCTATGCATAATAAAAAGATCACTGACTCTAACAAGATCAATTCCGCCCCTGAAATCGACCCACTCCCCCTCCCCGGTCTCTATTAAACATTCATCTCGACAGCACTAACAACCCCTCTGCACCCGCCACAACTAACAAGAACCCCCCCCCCCCCCC